GAAAATGAGGAAACCTGACAGGTACTGAAAAGAGACGATACTAGAAGGCCCAATGACAAATTACTCAATGTGGAGAAGAGATGAGAAGTACCAAGACTGACCTAGCTACATTGGGAGCTCCTTAAGAAGCTGAATATCAAAACAGTCATACAAAAAGAAACAAGGGCTTATGGCTATGCATGAGCATAAATAACTCGCATTAACCTGTGGAGATAATATTTTTTACTTTAGCCTGTCTATAAGTCATGGCTAATAGGGGACAAATGGCAACAAGAAAGGTTCTGTAAATATATTAGAAGAGGAAAACAGAGAACAGTATAGGCCAGGGGTGAGCAAAATAGGGCTCTCAGGCTGGAACCGGCCTGCCAGGCCATTCTGTCTGGCCTATGGGGCCCCTCTAACATTTAGAAAATTAATAGCTGCCAGTGGCTGCTTGTCAAAACTGATGAGGTGCCAGTGGCAGGACCCAGCGGCTGCAGGACCCAGGCCCACCCGGCCCTGTCCCACCTCCAGCCCCCAACTAGAAGCTCCTGCCCAGCAGAGGCTTCTGGCTTGGCAACTAGGGGGTTGCTCCTCTGCCCTCCCTCCATCTGAGAGCAGAAACTCAGATAAGAATGCGCAGGGAGGAGATCACCAACAATTGCCTCACTCTGTGGGGGCCAGGTCAAGCTGGGCTGGCTCAATGCTGTGCTGTGCAGTCCTGGCCATGCAGCCAGGAACTGCGTCCTGCCGGAGCCAGCCCACTGCAGCCAGCACCAGGCGGTTCCTAGCTGCATGGCTGGGACCGCACAGCGTGACACTGAGCTTCCCATCAGAGAGCATAGGACTGGGGGCAGAAAGTGGAGCAGCAGATGGGACAGGAGAATTGGACTGAAGTGGAACTTAGGGAGGATACAGGACTAATTTGTGACATGGCTGCCAAAAAGGTTGGCCCTCACTGACCAAGAGGACCATCAGGCAAGAAAAGGTGCCCACATGATCTTAATCACAATTAATGCCAAACCAATCTTGTTTCCCTCTTCGACAGGAAAACTGGCTTAGTGAATAATGGGGAAACAACTGATTTCATATATCTTGACTTAAGTGAAACATTTGACATGGCCCCAATACAACAGTCAGAAAATTAAATTGAGAAAACATAGTGTAGGTGGAATCACCATAATGTGGAAACAAAACTTCTTTCAAATAATTGTCATGAATAATTCAGTGTCATTTTGTGAAGGCATTTTCAAAAATTGGGGTCCTGCAGGGGTTTCTCCTGGGCCAAGTTCTATTTTTTTTTCATTAGTTATTTGGAGAATGGAATAGAAAGTACATTTAAAAAAATATAGATGAAGACCAAGCTGTGAGGAGTTGTAAGCACTCTGGAAGACAGTATCAAAATTCAAAAAGTTATTGATAAATTGGAAAATGTGCTCTGAAATCAACAAGATGAAATGCAATAAAAACAGGTACAAAACAATATTTGGGGTGGGGGGGGGTGGGAATCAAATGCAGAGGCCAAACAAGGAATAACTAGTAAGGCTCCAGTACCGCAGAAGAGAGATTGGGGGGGGGGAATGAGGATGAGAAAGGACCATAAGTTATTCATTCAACTGAATGAATCAACAATATGATGCTCTTTCAAGACAGACAGACCGACCGACCCCAAGTGTTATTTAGGGCTGCATTAACAGTCGTTATATGCTAGACATAGGATTTATTTACTCTGTTCTACTCTATTTGTATTCTACTCTGTTCAGTACCAGTTAAGTTTTAGCTGCAATGATGTGCTTAGTTTACAATTATTGTGCTTTAACACTGATATAGACAACCTGAAATGAGGCTGGAGAAGAGCAACAAAAATATTAGAGGCTTGGAAAATATATGGAAAAGCAGAAGTAACAGTTTCAACCATCAGTGAGTCCCAACTGAGCCTCCAAACCTGGTCTAAGCCTGTATTTGAAGTATGCCTAGGGACTTCCTGTTAATTATTTTTAAATAATCACTAGGGACTGAGTTTCCAAATATATTTCACACAATGAACCAGATCAGAAGCTGCTTCCTTCATGATTGTACGAATAAAAGTTTCAAAGGTTCTGGTGATTTGGGTTAGATTTAAAGAATAAAAACAAAGAAATGTCTCTATTAAAGAAACAAGAACAAGACTACCTTTGACATATATGTAAGGATTAATAGAATGGAGCAAGAACATGGGAAGTGCCAAACTGAGTCAGACCAATGGTCCACCTGGCCCAGTATCCTGTCTCTGACCGCAGCAGAGTTGAATGCTAGACAGGGAAAACACCAAACTGGATCTTTCTAGAGCAGTGGTTTTCAACCTGTGTTCCATAGACCCCTGGGGGTCCACAAATTATATCTACATGTCCACATAAGATGACTATGATCAAAAATATGTGAATACTCATGCTTACAATTCGAAGGGGTCAGCACCTCCATTCGAAATTTCCAACAGGGACTGCACCTCCATTCAAAGTTTTTTAGGGGTCCACTAAATGAAAAAAAGGTTGAAAACCACTGCTCTAGAGTGATCTATTTTCTTTTCGATACTTTCCCTGGCATCCAATGGAATACTGTAGCAACATCCTGTTGAAAAGTACCAAGATGTCAAGTGAATATTTTGGCCAAAGGACCTTGTTGCTGAGCACAAACATAACCAAGAAGGGTCAAGGGAGGCTGCATATGGGATTGGCTGTTAGCCAGCACATTAGCAGCAAGTTTCATGGAAAGAAAAAAATATTTGACAAAACAGTGGAAGCAGAGGTGCCAAGTATGTGGGGCCTGAGTGCCCTGGCCCCCACTCGGGAAGAGGGCTTTCACCTGAAATGCATAAAGCTTTTCACATGTCTACCACCTTAAGCCTCGTAAGTGCTGGTTCCACATGTCCATCATCACATGTGCTGACTTTTACTTTTGCAGGTCCCCCCTGCACAAGTAAAAGTCAGTGTCTATGACTGGAAAGACAATGGAGTGAAGTTTTAAAGATTCAGTTAATGTTGTTAAGGATACCAGTTTTTCACATATATTTCAAGTGATTTCAAAGTTGGCATAAACTTTAAGGGAAAATGCAACAATGCACTTCAAACAGAAGAGCCACAAGGAATTAAGATTGTCCCCAACGGTAGAAATATCAGGGTGACAGGAGACATTTTGGAAGTGGCCTATAAGGAATGAGCTTGAGCAAGGTTGGAGTGTGTAAAAACCCAGAGGCAATCCTTGAGATAACACTGGAGCCGTGGTGCATATTGTTAGTAACTACCATGTGGGTTTACCCATGCCAAAATATAAAGCAATATTTAAAATGACACTTCCTTCCAGTGTGTTGTTTGTTTTGATTAGCTAATATTCTACCCACTTTATAATGGACATTCCCTCTCTATGCTAGAGTTTTAAGGCATATCAATAAAGTGTTACCTAACACCTTTAAAAAACAACCTCCCCCTGCAAAACCAACCAACCAACCAACCCACCCCCCCAACCTTTATTCATGTTTAGATAAGCCTTCAGAACACAAGTGTGGATTCTGAGGCTGGAGAATTCAGCAGAAGCTGTGTAATTCTGGTATTTTATTTTGTAAAAAACTCACAAACCTACTTGCCAGCTAACCCTTCATTGTTAGATTTGTTCAGCGGCAAAGGACTTTACAAAGCAAAATAACTATTTAACTTGCAAGTCAATACTCAGATCGCAGCAAAGGAAAGTGAAAAACTAAATGTCTTTATTACTAAAACCAAGCTGTGACTTTCTTAGCCTCAGCTAGGGCTGCAGCTCAGGTCTCAGGCTAAATTCTTGGATAAGAGGAGGAAAAAAATAAAATAAAATAAAAAAAAAAAAATCAGGATTTATTCTTTCTAATATTAAAAAAAGGACAAAAATAATTAAGGATTCTTTATACAAAGGCAGCAATGAAGGACACAAACACTGTTTTTGTTTTAACTTCACATTCTACCTTTAAGAAGAGCAAGGACAAGTCAAATCCTGAATTTCTTTGTACAGCTTTGTTAGCCTGGGACTGCAGAGGAGATGGCATGGATCCGCTCTACAGACAATTTGCACCTTCTGTGCATCTCTATAATAATCCTCTGTGGGCATGCACAAAGGTCCCAATTACACCTGGGCTGTATTTGTGTTAAGCAGTACAAAAATATAGTGAAAGACTTGAGCTCTGCCCTGCTACTGGGGAAGAATTTGGGGTGGATCATAACAGAAACAGAGTAGAATCAACTGTCCTTTTGTCATTTCTTAGCAACCCAATTGTTGGGGTCACCATGATATGCATGGGAATGAAGGTTTCAACCCTTAGGGCAACCTCTGCTCTCTCTTCCTAAGAGGCCAAAACTAAGTAGTCCTGCTGA